ATTACCAAATCTCTTTTGCACTAGCTCAGTTAAAGGGTCCCCCCTTTACATTTTTCCCCCCGGCATCCCCAAATTTATGTAAAGTAAAAAAGGGCACAAGTCAACTAATGTTACATTTTGGGCAATGTTTTCGCTCCCAGGAGCTTTTATCAAGCCATTAAAAAACAATTTCATGGGGCACAGAGGGTATATAAAAGGGTTTAGAGTGAGGGGCAAAAACTAGTGAGGTACCAAATTTTGAATTTTTCACTAGGGTAGTAGTAGTATGGTAGTGAAAAAAAAAATACAATATGGGAGAGCAATTAATTCGTACAAGAGTAAAAGGATATAAAAGCTATTACTTGGGTAACATAAAAATAGGTTGGACAAATATAGACTGGAAAGAGGCAGCTTGTTTCAGTGTTCACTCTCTGTAATGTGCTTTGTGTAGTATAACAGGAGAGACTATGTGATGGTCAGGTGTTACTGTTTTCAGAGGATTCTTGCTAAGACTTCGGAGATGGTGAAGCTGCCGTTGTTTTGTTTAATTGTATTTGAAACAGTGATCAGTGCTGATTCGAGGCACTTGCGTCTGCGGAAATTTCTTTGATCACTAATTGGGCGTCTCTGAATTTCATGAAATGATTGGTGGAATTTCGGTGTTGTACACAGGCGTTGTTCAAGTTATCGTTCCTACATGCGTAAATGTGTTCATTGAGGCGGATGTCGAGGTTTCTTGCTGTTTCACCTACGTAAATCTTGTCACAGCCTCCACAGGATATAGTGTAAACTCCTGCATTGACTGGTATTGACTGTATTACTTTTGTCACTGCCACTACTACTACTACTACTACCACTAGTGAACATCGAAATGGTACCTCACTAGTATTGCACCTCACTCTGAGCCTTTATATACCCTCTGTGTCCATGTATTGTTTGTAATGGCTTGATAAAGCTCCTGGAGATCGAAACGTTGCCACAATAAATGTCACATTAGTTGCACTTGTGTCCTTTTACTTTACATATTGTCGGTAATTCTACCAACTTTATTACACCCTAAATTTACCTACTACTCCCTCCATAACATTTTTACCCACTTTAGCATTGAAATCCCCAACCATCATTACTCTCACACTTGATTCAAAACTCCCCACGCATTCACTCAACATTTCCCAAAATCTCTCTCTCTCCTCTACACTTCTCTCTTCTCCAGGTGCATACACGCTTATTATAACCCACTTTTCACATCCAATCTTTATTTTACTCCACATAATCCTTGAATTAATACATTTATAGTCCCTCTTTTCCTGCCATAGCTTATCCTTCAACATTATTGCTACTCCTTCTTTAGCTCTAACTCTATTTGAAACCCCTGACCTAATCCCATTTATTCCTCTCCATTGAAACTCTCCCACCCCCTTCAGCCTTGTTTCACTTAGCCTTTTGACTGTCGCGGCCGTATATATACGTCTTACGAGGTACCGTGTTTGACGTGTATATACTCATAAATTTTAGCGGCTTCAAATCAAGCAGGAGAAAGCTGGTAGGCCCACATGTGAGAGAATGGGTCTGTGTGGTCAGTGTGCACCATATAAAAAAAATCCTGGAGCACGCAGTGCATAATGAGAAAAAAAAAACTCCGACCATTTTTTTTTTAATTAAAATGCCGACTTTGTGGTCTATTTTCATATAGTATTTATGGTTGTATTCTCGTTTTCTTGGTCTCATTTGATAGAATGGAAAACATATTATAGAAATAGAGGTAATTTTGATTGATTTTACTGTAAAAAGAACCTGGAAATGGAGCTCAAAGTAGGGAAAATGTTTGATTTTTGCCGATGTTCAAAAGTAAACAAATGATGTCATTGTCCAATAAATGTCCAAACAAAGCCATTCTAATATGCAGTCATGAATGGGTTGATGTTTTTTATACAATTATTACAGTATTCAGTAGTCTGCATAATAGTAAGTCTTCTATTTTTGTTTGAATAAAAATTCAAAATAGAAAGCAAGAGTAATTCAGAGGGGGCTGGAGACATGATGATGAGCAAAGAAAATGTTATTTTAGAGCCAGGAATGTCTGCATTATTCATTCTGGACCTTATTTTGAAATTGTCATATTTTTTAATTTTTGTGAAATTGGCCAAATTGCAAATTTCTGACCACATTATTGGGTAGTTGAAATTGGTAAATGGGCAATTTCTTGTACTCAATCGATAGAAAAAATGGAGTTCTAAAGAAATAGCTATGAGTTTGGTCGATTGGAACAAGGGAATTAGCCAAAAATAGGGCTCAAAGTGGGCGAAATCGCCGATTTGTAAATATCACCGCTGTCGCTAACTTCGCGAGAGCACAATTTCGTCAGTTTTCCATCAAATTTCGTTTTTTTGGTGTCATTACAATTGGGAAAAGATTCTCTATCATTTCATCAGAAAATTTTTTTTTTTTTTTTTTTAAATTTTGCGACATCAGGAGACACCTCAGGATTGGGGGTTGCGACAGTCAAGGGGTTAAAGCCAGGACATCCAGCTTCTTCTCATTCATAACATCCACAATCATCTCTTTCTTATCATTTGCACAACATCCACGCACATTCAGACTTCCCACTTTGACAATTTTCTTCTTCTTGTTCTTTTTAGTAATCTTTGCAGGAAAAGGGGTTACTAGCCCATTGTTCTCGGCATTTTAGTTGACTTTTACAACACGCATGGCTTACGGAGGAAAGATTCTTATTCCACTTCCCCATGGATATAAAAGGAAAAGTACAGTGGACCCCCGCATACCGTTGGCATCACATAACGTTAAATCCGCATACCGATACATTTTATCGCTAAGATTTTGCCTCACATACCGCTAAAAAACCCGCTCAACACTATTCGTCCGAGATGCGTCTAATGTGCGGCCTGAGCCAGCCTCGCATGTTCCACCGGTGGCATTGTTTACAAGCCAGCCTCCGCGGTAACATCCAAGCATACAATCGTAACATTTCGTATTATTACAGTGTTTTTGGTGATTTTATCTGCAAAATAAGTGACCATGGGGCCCAAGAAAGCTTCTAGTGCCAACTCTGTGGTAAAAAGGGTGAGAAATATTGTCCGAAATACTGTGGTACCATGGTCAACTGCTGATGCTGCGCTGCTGTAGCACTGTCAGCTGCTGCTGCTGCTGTAGCACCATCAGCTGCTGCTGCTGCAGCTGTAGCACCATCAGCTGCTGCTGCTGCTGCTGTACCACCATCAGCTGCTGCTGCTGCTACTGCTGCTGCTGTAGTACTGTCTGCTGCTGCTGCTGCTGCTGCTGCTGTAGTACCATCTGCTGCTGCTGTAGCATCGTCTGCTGTTGCTGTAGCACTGTCAGCTGCTGCTGCTGCTGCACTGTCAGCTGCTGCTGCTGCACTGTCAGCTGCTGCTGCTGCTGTAGCACTGTCAGCTGCTGCTGCTGTTGTACCACCATCAGCTGCTGCTGCTGCTGTACCACCGTCAGCTGATGCTGCTGCTGCTGCTGTAGTACCATCTGCTGCTGCTGTAGCATTGTCTGCTGCTGCTGTAGCACTGTCAGCTGCTGCTGCTGTAGCACCGTTGTTGGTGTGGCTTATTGAGAATACCAAGAAACAATTAACCCCAGAGGGTTAGCCACCCAGGATAACCCAAAAAAGTCAGTGTCATCGAAGACTGTCTAACTTATTTCCATTGGGGTCCTTAATCTTGTCTCCCAGGATGCAACCCACACCAGTCGACTAACACCCAGGTGAACAGGGAAAAACGCCTTGAACTAGTGCTCATATTGGTAAATTTAAAGCCAGAAAAGGGTTTGGGTTTGAGAGTTTTTAAGAATCGTATGGCATACACAGTGTGATAAGGCCTGTTCTGGAAGAAAATGCCAAACGATCTACAGTACTCAGGAGGAAAAAAGGCACTCCCAGGAACAGTGTCTATCAGCCATTGCTGCATCTTCAATAAAGGTAAGTGTCATTTATTCTTCATTTAGTAGAGTAGTACATGCACAATATATATTGTGCATGTACTACTCTACTATTGTGCATGTATCCTTCTCTTTGTGTGTAGGAAAATGTATATTTCATGTGGTAAAAATTTTTTTTTTGTGCTTTTGGGTGTCTTGCACAGATTAATTTGATTTCCATTATTTCTTATGGGGAAAATTCATTCGCATAACGATAATTTCGCATAACAATGAGCTCTCAGGAACGGATTAATATCATTATGCAGGGGTCCACTGTAATAAGACCAAGAACTATTAAGATAAAATCCAAGAAAACTCAGATGAGTGTGTATAAATAAATGTGTACATGTATGTGTAGTGTGACCTAAGTGTTAGTAGAAGTAGCAAAACATACCTGTAATCTTGCATATTTATGAGACAGACAAAAGACATCAGCAATCCTACCATCATGTAAAACAATTACAGGCTTTCGTTTTACACTCACTTGGCAGGACGGTAGTACCTCCCTGGGTGGTTGCTGACTACTACTACTACTACTACTACTACTACTACTACTACTACTACTACTACTACCACTACCACTACTATACTACTATACCACTACACTACTACACTACTACCACTACTACTACTACTACTACTACTACTACTACTACTACTACTACTACTACTACTACTACTACTACTACTACTACTAGTACTACTACTACTAGTACTACTTTCTACTAGTACTACTAGTACTACTAGTACTAGTACTACTAGTACTAGTACTACTAGTACTAGTAACTAACTAGTTTCTAGTACTACTAGTACTACTAGTTATTACTCTATACTACTCTACTATAAATACTACTACTACTTTCTACTACTACTACTACTACTAAATATACTCTACTACTACTACTACTAAGTACTACTGGCATTGATATGCATTTATAAATTGAAAAAATGGTGTTCTGCTTTCCGGTGATGTCAGCTCTCAGGCAGTAGCCTGGAACCTAACTTGCGGTATAAGTGGGGCCCTACTGTACTTGATGTAAAAAAGTAATTGCAGGTGAAAGTATCTGGCCAATTTTTGTCTGAATTCTCTTAATGAAAGGTCTGCTAACGAGAGGTTTTACTGTAATGTGATAACTCTCCCTTTGTATATTCTGCAGGTACAGATGTATCAATTATCACGTTTACTTCATGACCGGCTACTGAATTTATATGACCACTTTGAGAGCCATGAAGTAACACCACAACTCTTTGCTGCTCCGTGGTTCCTCACCCTTTATGCCTCACAGTTCCCTCTGAGCTTTGTCTGCCGAGTATTTGGTGAGTTTTTCGTAGAAAATGATTCTTATATTTTGGCAAATTTGTGATTCATGTGTTTGAAAATTTTATGGTCTTGGTTGAGCGTGAACTGTAGCTGAAGCTTGAGAGAGGTCTCTGATCCAGCTTCTATGGAAGATTGACCTGGTTGGCTGTTATTACCAACAGGTTGGTAATAACAGCCAACCCCCATCACAATCAGAAATACAGTGTTTTTGAAGAAGGTAACATCTTCAAATATTTCCAAGTCAGAAGTTCAATTTCTTGAAATTCTTAAAAGGTGTGTTTTGAATATTCTTCTATAATTATAAACTGTATTGGCTGGGTTACTTTTGCCTCATTCTTTTTCCATCCTCATTTTTTTTTAACACATTGGTCATCAACCACTGAGGTACGGTGACCCAAAAAAGAAACACTTTCACCATCATTCACTCCATCACTGTCTTGCCAGAGGCATGCCGATACTACAATTTAGATGCCTATCTTAGCTGCAAATATCCTTCAGAGCACATGCACTGTACTTCACATATCCAGGACTTGAGTAATGCTAACTGGTTCCCTTAAATCCTTTCATAAATTTTACCTTGCCCCCACTCCAGCAGTATATCAAGTCATTAAGACCACTTTCATTCCTATCTAACACACTCGCACTTGCCTGTTGGATGTCTAAGCCCTTCACATACAAAAACCTTTAATCCCTCCTTCCAACCCTTCTGTAATGACCTCTACCTCTCCTTCCCTCTACTACAGATTTATACACCCTCCAGATCATCTTATTTTAATCCATCTTAATCTCCAAACCACAAATTCCCTGCATTACATTCACACCACACATTGCCCTGAGACATGATATTTCAACTGCCTCCACCCTCCTCCTTGTTGCAATGTTTAAAACCCATTCTTCACACCCATGTACCTGTGTACCTGTCTACCATCTTACTATCATATTATAACCAAGTCATTGCCATTGTTATTTTTTACTTATTATTTTTTGGTACTTTGTGAATTTTATTTTGTCAGTATAAATCTAGTTATACTCTTGATCTTGTTAACAACCTATATCAGACCCTAGTGCAATTGCAAGTACCATTTTAATTTGTTTTTTTTTTGTATTACAAGTTTATACCTAGTTGTACTTAAGCTCATTCTAGCTCAATACATAGACACCTAAACTGAACATTAAAATGGTATAAAATACCGACAGGTTGTTAGGTAAGACACACATGCAACAGTTAGGTATCTTTATTTCGAAACGTTTCGCCTACACAGTAGGCTTCTTCAGTCGAGTACAGCAAAGTTGATTTAAGCAGAAGATACTTGAAGACGATGTAATCAGTCCATCACCCTTGAAGTTTTGAAGTGGTCAGTCCCTCAGTCTGGCGAAGAGTATTGTTCCATAGTCTGAAACAATATGGAGTTGAAGTGACAGGATGGAGCATTATATAACGCCAGGAGGTGAGAATGTAGTCGTTGGAAGGTCGGGTCCCCCTCAAATCCAGCCATTCTCACTAGTAGAAATTGACAAAGTTGATTTCAGGTCTGTACCAAGATCCCCTTGTGTTGCAGTGTCTGACAGAGTGAATATTAAAATGGTATAAAATACCGACAGGTTGTTAGGTAAGACACATGTGCAACAGTTACGTATCTTTATTTCGAAACATTTCGCCTACACAGTAGGCTTCTTTAGTCGAGTACAGAAAAGTTGATTGAAGCAGAAGATACTTGAAGACGATGTAATCAGTCCATCACCCTTGAAGTTTTGAGGTGGTCAGTCCCTCAGTCGGGAAAAGAGTATTTTTCCTTCTGAAAAAGATGGAGTTGCTGCAAAAAAAGGGTATTTTGGGTACAGACCAAAATCAACTTTGTCAATTTTTATATTAGAGTGGCTGGATTGAGAGGGACCTGACCTTCCAACGATCTTTTCTACCCCCTGGCGTTTTTTATAAGGCTCCACCCTGTCCTTCAACTCCATTTGTTTAGATATGGAACATTACTTTCTCCAGACGAGGACTATCCCTCAAAACTTAAAGGGGGTGATGGACTGTTTCATCGTCTTCAAGATCTTCGCTTTTCAACTTTTCTGTACTCGACTAAAAGAAGCCTACTGTGTAGGCGAAACGTTTCGAAATAAAGATCCTAACTGTTGCATAGGGGTCTTGCTAACAACACCTAAACAAACTTACCTATTTACTTTGCTCATTCTAGCCCCCCAATACATAGACAACACAAATTCTTTTTAAATTAGACCTTAGTGCAATTAAAGAGTGATTGGTGCCACTTGTAATTTTTTTTGTTTTTTTTTATTAGTTTATACTAGTTGACTTTAGCTCATTCAGCACAACACTTTGAAAATCAATTTCATTATGTTTATTAGTACTATACTCTATAGACCAAAGTGCTTTAGCGGCATATTATCCAAACCTCCCACCACTAAAAAAATCATGTTAGAACTCACCACATAATCGGAATAAACAACCACTACTTAACCTAAAAGATGAATGATCATGTGCCCCTGATCAAACTCCATAATCTAACACACAATCAAAACTTTTTGGAAAGTAACTTCCTTTATTAAAACAGCATCACAAGCCGCACATCCTGAACCTGCTAAAAAAAGTTATCAGTTCTTAACTAAACATAAAGGCCCTTAAGCAAAACATATGAGACCTCCTTTGGACTCCTTTGGGTCACAAAACCCCTTTTCCCCTGCATTTTCTTACTGAGACGGGGTTCAGCGGACAAAATTATATCACCCCTCCCCAGGTACACAGCAATCCCAACTGAGCCCCATACCAAGGGGGGGTTCTGAAAATCTTTTACTCTAACCAACTGTTTTTTTAGCACAAATTGCTTTAGTGTAAATTTTGGGGAACATTTTTGCTAATTTTATGTAAAAACCTCAGACCTTAACAATTGGTCCAAAAAAAAAAATTTTTTTTTTTTTTTTTTTTTTTTTTTTTTCCGAAAAAACAAACACCCCCCTTAGGGGGAAAATCACCTTTTCCCCAGAAAGACAACAACTTTTATAACAATATAACCCCTTCCCAAAACAAAAACTAAACCCCCCCTTTTACAAAAAAATCAAAAAAATAAAAAACCCCCAAAAAGCCCCCCATTAAAACCAACAAACAAAAACGCCCTAACCCCCTTTTCAACAAAAAAATTTTAAACCAACTTTTACAAAAAAATTTATTTAAAACCCCTGGGAACCAAAGGTTTTAAAAAACCAAAGGGCGTGCCCCAAGAATTTCCAAAACCCAAAAGGATTGACTGGCACATTTTTCTTAAAATTTATTAAAAACCCAAAATTTTTCCTATAAAAAAAAAACAATCAAAAAAACCGGTTTCGATGGCTGCGCTCTAAAAACATTTTGAAAACCCCAAAAGAAAACAATAAGAAGGGTTAAAACACAAAGATATTTTAAAAAAATTTAACAGTTTAAAAAATTAACCCCCTTTGGGTCCCGGGGAAAAACTGAATGGTGCTCCCCAAAAAAAAAAAAAAAAAAAAAAAAAAAAAAATTTTTTTTTTTCCTTCCCAGAATTAAAGAGCAAATTTTTTAAGGTAATAATCCCAAAAAAAAAAAAACGATCATTTACTTACCGAAAAAACCATTGCCAAGAAGTTGAAAAAAGGGGGATGGGGGGTGGGGAAACACCCGACGAATTCCACTTACTCGCATTACTTTATTTTGGGGTTTTTTACTTTTTTTTTTTTTCTTTTCCAATTTTTTTTCTATTCCCCCAACATTTGGGGCCGAGAAAAACCAATACTGTATAAAAATTTTATATATATATATAAAAACCCCCTGTTTGAACACAATAACTGCCCCAAAATTTTTACATATTTTTGTTTACCCCTGTTGTTTATTCCCAATAAACATGCACAAATTTTGTATAAAAACAAATGTTCTATCAATAATTTAAAAATTTTTACAATCACGGGAACAGGGGTTTAGAACTCTGGAGCTTGTGGAACTCCTTAAAAAAAGGCACCATGCACAGACACCTTACTTTCCTCAAAAACCAAAAACCATTGTCTTTGGTCTTTTTTGGGCCCCGTTGTTTTGTTTTTTTCACAGCCCGATGCATCTTTTCTGGGGAAAATTTTCTTCTGAGTTAAAAGGAAGTTGTATTATGAAATGACCCCTTCCCCCCTAAAAACGCATAGGTAAAATCCTGGGGAAAATTTCAAGGACCTTGTTGTATAGCAGGGGGTTTTTAAACCCCTGGAATTTTCTTTAAAGATTGCCCTGACAACAGAAAAACAAAATTTCACCATAGGGTTGGCGTTCCCAGTCTTTTTTTGGTACATTTTTAAAACTTGGGACTTTTGAAATTTTCCATGAAAAGGAAAAAAATTTTCATGTCCCATTTGGGGAAACTCAAATGAACACAGTCAAAAACCCAAATCTGCATGTCACTTTTGTAAACCCCAAGTGCATCTTTTGTGTATAATGAATCACGGGTCACGGGGGTTTTTCGAATAAAATTCAATAGCCCACTCGATAAACTTTGCCACTCCCCCTTTCATTTAAAAAAAGGGTAAAAAGGGTTGTCAACAATGTGCCCTCTCTTTTGTCATCCCACCGAAATGCCATAAATTTCTTTGGCAGTTAACACCTGCACTCTCACCACGAGCACCGCTTTGAGCCTGGCATATGTTTACGTTTTAACGCACTGTGCCACACACCCCTGTTTTTTTCCCTCGCATGAAATCACGATTTAAGGGTTTGGGTGTACCAGTTATGGGTATAAATTAGGGCCCCTTCCCAAACAAAAGGGCCCTCATGTTTTTTCACTATGTCACCTGAGATACCCAATAACATCTATTTTATTTTTAAAATTTTTTTAACAAACCCCGTTTAAACAACAAAAACCAAAAACACCGGGCCCCTGTCAAAATTTCACAAAGAAAAAAACCTTTTTATACCAAAGCGTTTCTCTTGCCGGTTTTAACTGCTTGAATGACTCAAACCTTTTTGAACAAAAAAAAGACTCGT